AAAGTATTTTAACAATCCATGCCCCTGGGAGTTGCTATTGTCTCATCTTTTCTGTTGGTCTTCCCCAGGTTTTACAGCACCTATTTCAGTTTCTTTCCCAGCTCCCATTTGACTTCTACTTCCTTTTAATTATTTCTCTGAACTTAAGGAGAATAAATCTTCTTTTATCAATAGTTTGCTATTAAGGCAAGCATGTTTTTTTCCTTGTCAGGGTTATGAGGTTTCTATGGGGGTTTGTTTCACCCTGTGCCAGCTTCACTGTGAATCAGGCTCAGATTATTGGAGCCAAGGGTCTGGTTAGTTGTGCCTGCCAACAGCCCAGAATCGTCTCCAGTGTAACAAAGAGGAGCACAATATCAATCCAGCTTCATGAGTTCTCAGGCTGGGAGTGGGATTCCCAGGGTTTATGAATTTGTTAACCAGTGATGTAGCACATACTGTCAATTAACAGGAAACTAGAAGGTACTAGAAACGTTCGATTTTACTACACTGACAACTTAAACTGGAGGGTTGTACCCTCTTAATCTAACAAGTTAGGAATGTGTTTTGTAATTCTTACTAATTAATGAAAATTAAGAATGAGTATTAGGTCTAAAACAAGATTGGAAAAAGGAAGTTATTAGATTAATTGTCAGTAGCAGACAAGTAGCACTCCAGAACAGCCAGCTTTTCTCACTGAATTCCTTCCAGTGGAATTCAGATCTGGCAGATGTAGTTCCACTGCAAACAATCAGCAAATGTAAGCCAGTAATACTATAAAAATATAAAGACAAAATTAACGACTTTGCACAGGTGTGTAAATTATGCATTGCATCTAAGGGAGAACCAATCATATCATAGATGTTAAAGATTTCTGTATTTACTATGGCAATTTTCCATTAGAGGGTAGTAAAGTGTTTTGCTGTAATAAATTGTATATTTAGGAACAATTTTTGGACCAGTAAAAGGGTCTTGAAGAAGGAATGCCTTGTTGTAATTTTCAAAAAGACACCATATGGGCTAGTGGTGGCCCTAAGTCATCCATCCTAGATGTTTTTAAAAATGAGGGTGCTCTCAAATTGTTTCAAGTATTTTGACTGTCTCCAAATGACGATCAAATTTCAGTGTTAAGTCTTATCACCTGAGGCAAGTCATTTAACTTTATGAGGCATATTTTCTCTTCTGTAAAATCAGAGGCTTGGCCAAATGATTGTTGTAGTCTTTTTCATCTCTTCAACCACTTTATGTAGCAGATAAATCTATGGCTTGTTTAAGCAGCATGGATCTTTGAGGAGTCTTCCAAAGGTATCCAAGAAATTGAAAAAAATATATGTATCAAAGTTAAAATCTTATTAACTAAACAGAAACTTCAGGTAAAAACTGTATCGTAAAAGAGAGAAGAACAACCCACTTGTGTTTTTTGACATCTACTAAGTGGCAAGCATTTCTCTCTCATTATCTCATTAATTTTTATAATCATCGTGGCAGTTACTGTTATCCTCGTTTCATAAAGAAGAGAACAGCTAGTATGTTGTAGAGCCATTCACATTGTGTAGTATGATCTGTGTCTCGTTAATCTAGAACAAGGAAAAATTGATAATACAAATATCGGTATTATCTGAAAAAGAACAAAAGAGGCAGAAAGATCTGAAAGATGTGAGTATTAAGTCTACCAGAATGGTTAGACCAAGGGTCCACAAACTGGCTCGAGGGTCACGTCTGCCTATCACTTGTTCTTGCAAATAAGGTTTTATTGAAACACAGCTATGCCTATTCATTTATGTATGGTTTATGGCTGCTTTCACAATATATAGGCAGAAATAAACAGTTGTGATATTTTTGGTCAGCAAAGCCTAAAATGTTCATATCTGACTTTCACAGAAAAAAATTGTGGACTCCTGGTAAAGCTGTATGTTGATATGTTTATAACCATAACCTGCTCATTAATTCCCAAATCCTATCACCACCACTTTTATTATTAAAGGTACTGCAGGAAAATTTGTTATTGAGGGACAATGTAGTGTTTAATTACATATAGCTGTGTTCACGCTTACTGACATTGCCTTTTCTATTACCACATTCAACACTAACCTTAGATCAGCTCTTCAATCAGATCCCCTTTAATTCTCATTGTCATCATGAAGCACAAACCAGTTAACTATACTGAGAGCTCAACTGGATCCCAGTTCTTACACAGAGTGCTAGTTTTTCAGTTCCCAATTCATCTGGGCACCATTTTAGATAGAGAGTGAAATCAACATGACACCAGTTGTATTTCCTAATCAATTGAGTCGAACTGAATGTCATGGTAAGAAAAAAAATTCCACAACAAAATGTCTTTACTTATTAATAGATTATTGATCTCCATATATTATCTGTGACAGGTGGGACCAGGCCTTAATCAATTTTGATTGTTTTCAAACAGCAGGAGATGTTTTCTCAGCTGTCACATACCTCACACATAGTACCTGCTTCTTTCAAGGGCAGAATTAGTTTCACGTGCCAGGATATGAGCACAATTTGTGAAGTTTAAACAGGTGCTTACTTTGTATCTCTAAAGGCAAGAGATTTTTTTCCCCAAGAAGCAAATAAACAAATTGTATTAGTAATTTAATTTTTTATAACAACTTGAGATAAAATCCACATACCACACAGTTCAAACATTTAAAGTATACAATTCAGTGGTTTTTAGTATATTCAGAGTTGTGCCACCATTACCACAATCAACTCTACAACGTTTACATCACCCCAAAAAAGAAACCCTATACTAATTAGCAGTCACTCCATTTTCCTCCCCAACTCCTCAGTCTAAGCAACCACTAATCTACCTTCTCTTTATATGTATTTGCCTGTTCTGGACATTTCATATAAATGAAATCATATAACATGTGGCCTTTCATGTCTGGCATTCTTCACTTGGCATGTTTTCAAGGTTTTTCCATGTTGTGATGCATATCAGTACTTCATCTCTTTTTTATTGCTGAATAATATTCCTTGTATGGATATGCCATGTTTTGTTTATTCACTTGTTAGTTGATGGAAATTACGGCTGTTTCAATTTGGGGCTATTATAAATAGTGCTGCAAAGAACATCTGTGCACAAGTTTTTGTGTAGACACTTGTTTTTATATCTCGTGGGTATCCACCAACAGTGGATGAGGGTTCCAGTTTCTCTGCATCCTCACCAACACTTGATATGATCACTTTGATGATATATCTATTCCAGTGAGTGTAAAGTGATATCTCATTGTAGATCTCATTTGCATTTCCCTGATGGCTAATGATGTTGAGAATCTCTTCATGTGCTTATTGGCCTTTTGCATATCTTCTTTGGAGAACTGTTAATTCAGATCTCTTGTTGATTTTTAAAAACTGAATTATATGCCCTTTAATTATTGTTATAACAATTCTTTATATATTCTAAATACAAATTCCTCCCTTAACTAATACATGATTTAAAAAAAAATTCTCTCATTCTGTGGGTTATATTTTTGCCTTCTTGATATTGTCCTTGGAAACACAAATGTTTTTAATTTTAATTTACCTATTTTCTTCTTTTGTTGCTTGTGTTTTTAGTGTCATTTATTTAAGAAATCATTGCCTAATTCAAAGTCAGAAAAATTTACACCATGTTTTCTTTGAAGATACTTATAGTATTAGCTCTTATGTTTAGATCTTAAGTCCACTTTCAGTTAATTTTTATATACAATATGAGGTAGGAGTCCAATTTCATTATTTTGCATGTGGATATCCATGTTTCCAAGCACCATTTAATGAAAAAGACTATTTTGCCCCCATTGAATTGTCTTAGCACCATTTTCAAAAGTCAGTTGACCATAAATGTGATCAATATTTCTGGACCCTCAGTTATATTAGTATTTGATTCTGTCTGATGCTGTCAATTTTGGTTTTTTTATTTTTATTTTTATTTTTTTTTGAGTCAGGGTCTAACTCTGTCATCCAGGCTGGATTGCAGTGACCCAGTTATAGCTCATTGCAGCATCGAACTTCGGGGCTCAAGCCATCCTTGCCTCTGAATAGTTGAGACCACAGATGCATGTCATCACATCCAGCTGATTTTTGTTTGTTTGCTTGTTGTTGTTGTTGTTGTTGTTGTTTGTAGAGATGGGATCTCACTGTTTCCCAGGGTGCTCTCCTGGCCTCTAGCAATCTTTCTGCCTTAGACTCCCAAAGTGTTGGGATTACAGTCATGAGCCACCAAGCTTGACCAATGTTGAAAATTAAACTGTTTTCTTAATATCATTTTTTATTTATTAATTGACACTATATCAAAAGATAACCAATTTCTGTATATTTGATCCTGTACCTGTAACTTTGCTGAATTTATTTATTAGTTCTAATGTTTTGTTTTTGTAGATCATGTCGTCTCCCATCTCTATTTAGTTACACTTCTTCCTTTCCAATCTAGATGCCTTTTATTTTATTTTCTTGCCTAATTGCCCTTTCTTGACTGTCCAGTACAAGTTGAATAGAAATGGCCAAAGCAGACATCCTTGTCTTGTTTCTGATCTCAGGGGAGATAATCCAGTCTTTCACCCTTAAGTATGATGCTAACCATGGGTTTTTCATAGATGCCTTTTATCAGTTTGAGGAAGTTTCCTTCTGTTCCTAGTTTATTGAGGGTTTTTTATTTTACATTTTTTACTGTGAAAGGGTGTTGAATTATGTTAAATACTTTTCCTGTGCCTAATGAAGTGATCTTGTAAATGTAATTTGATCTTATCTATTCTCATTTCCAAACACTCAAGAGAAAACTGTAAGGAACTACATTTACAAAATAAACCATAACTTTACAAAAAGGGCATAAAATAGCATTTTGGCAAAAACTTACAGATATGTAATCTAAAGGTATCTAACTGTATCAATTTTAAAAATACAAAAATATAACTTTATGAGGAAATTTTTTCTGACTAAAAAAGTAAAACTTCATCTGCTGGTTATAGGAAAATATGTTCTTGTAAGAAAACAGTGGCATAATAAATTAACAAATAGCACAATCATCACTTTCACATACATATTTATAAAATGCAGGATAGAATTATTAAAATTCTCTGTAGGTAGCTGACATCTCCTGTTCCAAACATTTCCATATTAAAATACAGATTTATAGTTCAAAAACTACATTGTGTTAACCAAAACATATTATGCTTTATACTTTAAAACAGCACATTAGCAAACCCATTTATCACACACATTCAGAGCTGTATTGCCTGGGAAGAAAAGAACAAAATATAATTCCCAATTATGGTTTAATTGTACTCTGTGTAGTATATATAATGCCTTCTGCTTTAATTCGCTCCAATATTGGTCCATAGATCTCCTTTGAAAAGGGCCCCATTAGGCCTTTGGCTCCAATTTCACCTGGAAGAAAATAAATGTGTAATTACCATTTTAAAGGTGGTGTCAGAGGTTAATTTCCCCATCAAGAGTCTCCACAAAAGCAAACTCAGAGTCAATGAATTCTTGGAGGCCTAGGCATTTTTTAAGTAGCTACTTAAAAATGTCCCTTAGTAAATTATTACTTAGTCAACACTTTGAAAGCAAAAGGAGTTAATTTTAGATTGAAAGCATAGCCGGACCTAGGGATATTGTCAGAATTTGTACACTTAACTGCATTAATTACTGCCAGAACAATCAGAAAATAAAGTAAAGTAAGAAGTCAATCTGACTGGTCAGCTTAACTTGCTAATATCATATTTTTAAAAAGGCAAGACACCAACAGAATGAGTTGTTAACAAGTTTGATTATATGGGCACAGGCACCTGTCAGCATGACTGAAACATAGAACCTGGGCACTCTCACTAGAGGCCACAATGACCCCAACTTCTGTCACTTATTTCTTCACTGATTCCTCAATAACTAAGTTGGTCATTTAACTTGATATTAGCTGATATGCTACTATATATTTTTTTCATTATTTCACATTTATATGCTTTGATATTTTCTACTCCCCTCATTCTTTCTTGAGAGTCAAACAGAGGCAATGCTTATTGAATGTCTATGTGATCTTCTAGGGAGAGTGGAGAATTGAAATTTGTATTCATTTAGTCTAAAATATATATTGAGTACTAATAATATGCTGAGATATGAAGATTAATAAAACTTAACCTATATTCTTGAGAATCTGGAGTGAATATCTTTTTCTATTTTAGAGTTATCACTCCCAACATGGCAAAAACCAAAGAAAGGAAGGAAGGAAGTGACCATTCCCTGGGGACCCCTCTATGTGGCAGCAGATTTATGTATTATATCAGTTAGTGTCACAACAACTCTATGAAATAGGGATGGCAATACCTACTTTAAATATGAGGAAACTCTTGCTCAGAGGTGCTGAGTAACTTGCAGCTCACCACTCAGCCACCTTGTAATTGAGCTGGAGCGAAAATCAAGTCTATCTCCAAAGCCCCCATGCTTTACTCACCAACAGGGGCCCTCCCTGGCAGTCCGCACTTGGATCTTCTAAGATGGCTCACTTTTAGTGAATGCCTGTGTTACACTCAAAAGCAATTACTTGATGTCCAGGCACCAAATGACTTGGAGGTGATATGGAAACAGGCTCATGCCTCAAATGAGCAGACTTACCGTCAAGCAACATTTTGGCTGCCATGGCGGTGGGTAACCCCACGGTTTTAGCCATGGCTGAAAAGCCATTGATGTCCCCATAAGCCACCAGATCAATCGTTTTATTTTCTAAATGTCCAGAAGGATGTCTGATTCCAAAGCTGTCTCTCATCACAATCATATCTTTTTCTTCAGGACCTTAAAACAAATAAAGATAAGTAAAAATGCCACTATCATTACAACTCAAATATCATCTACCATCTCCTCCTCCTGCCCTTCTGGTTTTAAAAGTTTTCCCTCCTTTTATATATGATCACTAGACAATTAATTACACAGCTTTTTAGCCCAAAGTCAAAGTGAAAACCTCAAGGAAATTAGAACTCTGATTGCATTCCTTTATCTGGGATGGTATCACCGTATCCTGTTTACAGACACAAAGGCACTGCTTTAGAGGCCTTTTAGTGTGCTCCAAAAATGCTTCTTAGGCATTTGCCTAATGCATTAAAAAAAAAAAAAAAAGGTAATGCCAGGCACAGTGGCACATGCCTGTAATCCCAGCACTTTGGGAGGCTGAAGTGGGCGGATCACCAGGTCAAGAGATGAAGACCATCCTGGCCAACATGGTGAAACTTTGTCTCTACTAAAAATACAAAAATTAGCTGGGCATGGTGGCACACAACTGTAGTCCCAGCTACTCAGGAGACTGAGGCAGAAGAATCTCTTGAACCTGGGAGGCAGAGGTGCAGTGAGCCGAGATCACACTACTGCACTTCAGCCTGGTAACAGTGCAAGACTCCATCTCAAATAAATAAATAAATAAATAAACAAACAGTAAAACTATGTTTTTCCTTTTCTATAATAACTATCTTTATTTTTACTTAATAATTCTCAAATTCTTCTCCCTGGAAAAATAGTCCAATTGCCTTTTCGTCACACCACATCTTCCCATTCCAGCTGCTTGGCGCCAACCTTCCAATATGATTATCTGCACTGAGTCTATCTTATGATTCTTCTTCAAGTATATTTAGCTAACACTTCATAGCCTACCATAGGAAAGCTTCATGACCAAATGCTTGGAGAGGGCATCCACAATGGACTCTGCCTGAGGGACTTCTTCATCCCCAAGTAAGCCCAACCTGAAAAGCACAGGAGATGGCTGCATTAGTTCAAGTCCTATACATGTTCTCATTTGGGAAGCAAAAGGGAGCTCCTTGAATTTAATCTTGAAAGGGCAGAATTACAAGATGGTCACTCAAGTTGTAGGATTTTCCTAAAGTGTAAAATAATAACAATATCAATGTTTTAACCTTCAGAATCATCTCCAGACTCACCCAGGCACTACTCCCCGGAGCAGGGCAGAGATGATGATGCATTGTAATCCCATGTTCTTACAAAGCTCTTTATGAGATTAACTTAGAGGTTAGTTCTCCAACATTAAGTATACCAGCAGGATGCCACAGCAGTCATATGAAAGAATGTTTTAATGTAATATTCTCTGACTACTCAGAATCTCCTACAGGAAAGCAAAAATACCCCACTATGCTTGGGAACTGAGTGATAAAGTGTTTCCAGATAAGCATTTCTCAAATTATAATTGCCATAGAGCTCCTTTTTTTAACCACTCTCTATGACCACATGAACATGGCACATGATAATCTCTCTACCCACATTAGACCAACAAATTAATCAAAGACAAATGTAAAATATTTAACTTTTTTTTAGTAGAAATTAGCAATCATTGATCCAGTATATTTTGCTCTAAGCTGAGTGGTGGGTGCCTACCATTCAGCAGCCTCCAACTGGGTATTGTCTCCTCCTAGTTTGTTAAGAACAGCTTCCTTCAACACATCGTGTTCAGAGGAGGGTGAAATCCCAACTAGGTCACAGAGGAGTTGTTTCTGGTTAGAAAAATAAAGACAAAATTTCTAAGTCTCTAATAATTTTTTTTTAAATTAACTGAAAAATTATCCTACTAAAACACTGAACTTCAAATACACCTCAAATTTTAAAATTAAAAATAATTGGAAACAGGAAATTGTAACACATACACATACATATACGCATCTGCATACCTATACATCAATAAATAGCTGCTATTCCAAAATGATACTTCACCAATAAAAATGTGTTCTAAGATCAACTCAATACAAAACAGATGGTGTGCTTCTTACTAGCACATTCCCTGTCTTTGTATATCCTCTCTATCACTATTTTTTTACCCATTCTCCCCCTACCCTCCAGCAGTCCATTTTGACCAGGATGAAGTGGAAAAGGCTTACTGCAGTGGTTGCCAGTAGCAACCCAGGTTCTTTTGTAGGTTCAAGAGATAAGAAAGACCTTGCAGTTAATAAAATCTCAAAGGAAGAACATGTAAACAGTAGCCATAGTTTTTTCTACTTTCGAAACAAGACTTTCTCTAGGCTCCCAAAGGAAATGCTATGCTCTAGATCAGGAGTGAACCAATTGGTTCACAGACCAAATTTGGCTCACTTTGTTTCATTAAATAAAAAGTTGTATTGAAACACAGTCATGCTCATTGGTTTATGTATCGTCTATGGGAGAAGTGAGTGGTACTGACAGAGACCATGTGGCCCATAAAGTCTAAAACATTTATAACCTGGTCTTTTACAAAAAAGACCATCCCTAAGAATGTCTGCACCAACCTTCTCAAGCCAGCTGCCTCAACCCCAGGTTCTCTCTGCAGATATTTATTCACTCCTACCCAACAAGTAAGTTTATGAAAGGTAAAACTTAAGATTGGAGAGGTTCACAAATGCACACACAAAAAAATGAGTGTAAAAGCATCACAAAGAAATGATGAATGCTTAAGGTGGTAGATACTCCATTTACCCTGATGAGGTTATTACACATTGCATGCCTATTTCAAAATATATCATGTCCTCCATAAATACACACACCTACTATGTAGCCATAAAAAATTAAAAAATAATTTTTTAATGAAACTAGCTAGCAAGAATACCAAAACTTTTTTTTGAGATTTAATAGAATTAACAACATTGGTCCTTTTCTCCTTGTGATACATTTCTGGCATTTGTATTGGAATATGGGCACACTAGTTTAAGTTGAATGACCAGCTGGTAATGAGTTAATTCTGAGCAGTTAGTGGAAGCTCTACTTCACATTCCGTTCCAAGCCTCCAAAGTTCATTCCAACTCTGAGGCCTTAAGATTTTGGTAGAACAAAAGATGGACGCATAAGCTTGGTAACTGAAAATCAAAACGCTCATAGTTCTAAGTAACCACATGAGAGTATTGACAAGATTTGGAGGTTGGGAATCCAGTTCTGTAATACACTAGTAACTCTCCTGGATTCTCACTTTCAGGAAGCCCAAGTGACTCCCATCACTGGGTCACCACTTAGACGACTGGAAGAGCTCAGAGCTTAATGCAGAGAGCAAATCCATCTCTTACCATAGCTCAAGGAGCAGTCAAATGATGTAAGTTGCTGCAGGAAATAGGCCTGATATGTGTCAGCCCCACACCCTCTCCATTCTTCCACAACAGTGAGGGGAAAGGGGGCTTCAGAATTACGATTTATCTTCCTGCTCATAAGCTAATAAATGGGTTCTTTTGTTGATCCAAAGCAGAGTTCACCCCCGACCATTTCAGAAGGTATTTCTGAAGAGGAGCAGATAGAACGTAATTCCGGAGTCACTCACCCAGGTGAGAAAGTTGGCCTCAGGTCTAAAGGCAGGAAGTGCTTCTCTGTTTATAAGACCTAATTTTACAAATCCATTCAAAGCTTTCATATATCCCTGAAACAAGAATTAATAAGCAGTATATAAAATGTTTCTCTTCCAATGAAAAAATATAAAATATTTTTGAAAAGAGGGATCTATCTTCATAACTAATTTAGAAAATAATTGTTTATATTGATGATATGAATGCTACAGCTCTTTCAGAATTTGCCAAGCAGGTTTTCTCATCTTTACTAGAAACCCCTCTCCACAACCCACCAAAAAAAAAAATGTATTGAGGATATAGTTACAACTAATTTCAAACTCAAACTGAGATCAATAGTGTCATAACAATTCCACTGGTTTACATAAAAGACCTTGCAAAACTTAGGTCTTTACTTCTGTCTCTGGGTAACATGTGAATGAAATTTTCTGGCAGCATAAGGGCAAATTTTCTCATGTGTTATATGCTGTCAGCTCAGCAGAATATTATTTAATAGAACAGTCAGTTGAGCCCTTTCTTATAATGGAAGGAGGAACTTGTAAGAATATCCTCCCCAAAAGCAGATAATCCAATCTACTGATTAGAGCCACTACCCCCAAGATATATGGAGAGAAGAAAAAGAGGTAGGAATCAGAGAGATTTTTCTAAGATAATGATGACATCACCACTCTGATAAAAATTCCTCATATGTCTTTCATTGTCTACAAAGCAAACCTGAGGTCCTTGGTATAGTATATAAAACCCATCACAATATGCTCATCTAACCTAACTCACAGATCTCCACTTTTACTGCTCCCCAAATGCGCTGTGTTCCTCCAGAAACCAGGGCCTCTGTATATGCGGCTCCTGTAACTGGAATGTGTTGGCCATACTTCTTCATTTACGAAATGTTTTCTCCTCCCTTCAGACCTAGTTTAGCACCTCTTCTGAGTCCCCTAGGTGAGTGGAGACTCCCTTCTTGTAGCATTTTGTATATACCTTTATCATGGCAATTAATACAGCTTGTAATTAATTGTCTATTCAGCTGCTGTACTGTAGGTATTGAAAGGAGGCAAATAATATCTTTATTATATTATATTATGTTATATTATATTTTATTTGTGTGCATATTCTTCATCCCAATGCCCACTTCGGGGCAGATAAGTCAAGCAAATAATGCTTAGTCCATGGTGAGCAAAAATGCATCACCACTCATGACTAAACTGTAGAAGAGTATTATATTAATAGGTGCTAGGTTAGAGGAAAACATAGCTGTGGGAGCACAAAAGAAGGGGAACTCACATAGATGGGGCTGGGTGGTTCAAGGGGAAGGAGTTAGGGAGGATACCATAGGAAGGTATTCAACATTATTCAACATTCCAATCCATTATTCAGCATTCCAATCCCCTAAAAGAGAACAAATGGCTGGATAAATAGATTCTGAATAATAGATGAAGTGAAGAAAGACCATAATGGTTTATTCTCCAGTGTGCAAATGGGAAGCAGGGTGAGAGGGCTAAGATAAGAAATTTTGCAGCTGCTGTAATTACTGCTTAAGCAGAGAGAGAGAGAAGAAAAGAGAGAGAGGGAAGTAATTCTAGGGAGCAACAGAATTTTTAAAATATAAAATAGTTCCTGTAACCATCAGATACTTCACTACTGAATGTCTGGTCAACTAGCAATTTTCACATTTCTAAAGGTTATATTGTTCAAACTGTTTAAAGGTTACTAAAAAAAGAATTCTCATTTGCTCTAATCCAAATGCAAATATACTTCAAAGAGGAGAAACAGAAAAGTAATATCACTAGCTTGTTTAGCTCGCTTCTGGGACCTGTTAGGTGCTAGAGATCCCTTTATCCAACATCTAAAATGCTGATTTCTGAGCTATTTATTAATCTCAGAAATATATTTTTATGCTGACCCCTAGAAATGAATTTATTTTAGGTATTCATTCATCAATAAGCATTTAGCAAACTGCTGCCATATGTCAGACTTGTGCTAGGGACTGAGGCCACAGAGACGAAAAAAAAATGCAGTCCCATCTCTGCAGAAACTGCAGTCAACAGAAGGGTCAGATAAGTCAAGTAAATAATTCCTAGTCCATGGAGCGCAAAAATGCATCACCACTGATGACTAAACTGTAGCAGAGTATTATATTAATATGTGCTATGTTACAGGAAAACATAGCTGTGGGAGCGCAAAAGAAGGGGAACTCACATAGATGGGGGTGGGTGGTTCAAGGGGAAGGAGTTAGGGAGGATACCATAGGAAGGTGCTATTAAGCTGCATCTAGAAGGACAAGCAGGTGACAGGCAGGCAGAGAAGGAGAGTAGCCAAGGCCTCTTTGTCATATTTGAATGATGGTATCTCATTTCCAATACTGGAAAGAATGTTAGGGTTACCAAAGGGTTGCTGGCATTGCCCAGGATGGTGGCCCTTATGATTATGAACACTGTGACATCTTCCATCCTCAGAATCTGTGGGGATGTCTCCCACTTGCACACCTTGTTGAGACCTTTATTCAATGTTTAAATCTATTAAAATCCTTCATTCCAGGATCTATATGTTTGTCAAAAGACTATACTGAAAGCCATATATCCTAACTACTGGCCAAAAAAAAAAAAAGTTACTACTCATATTCTTTGAACAAATTGAAGAAAAGAGATGAAGAAATCTGCCAGAGCTGGGGATAGTATGCATGAGTTCAGACTAGAATTTCTACTGTGCCTAAAGGTTGGTAGAAGAGCCACAGCTCCTAGATCTCAGGAGGACATTGTCATTGATGTCTCATTTGATTCCTGGACAATGAAAAAGTCATATTCATGGAGTACAAGCACCTGCTCTCTAGGAGCTTACAATCTCTTTGGGGAGACAAGAAAAATATACATAAAATTATAATTTAAAATGCTGACAAGTAAACACTAAGTGCCCATTAATGTAACAGAAGCTCTCAAGAGTAAGAAATACAGTGGTTGTTTTCTTTTTAAGAACAGATAGGTGGGTGAACCTGGAAGACATTTTGCTAAGTGGAATAAGTGAGACACAAAAAGTAAAATATTGCATGATCTCACTTACATGCAGAATCCTTTTTTTTAAAGAAAGTAAAATATGCAGAGATAGAGAATAAAACCGGGTTACCAGGGGCAGGGTTGCAAAGAAGAAAAGAACAAGGCCTGAAGGAGTACGATACAAATACTTGGAGGAAAATTTCCAGGCAAAAGGAACAGCCAGCAAAAAAAGATAAGAGAGCGACAGAAAAGCAGGCACAAGATTGAAGAGTCATCACTGACAGGTCCATGTGCCTTACATCTTCCAGTTAAAAAGATATTTAGAGAATACTAGATAACACACATGAGACAAATCCCCTCTCTGGCCTTAGCCAGGAAATCTCACAAGACAGACAGATTTGCAGCCAGGTCTCTGATCTTGAGAGACGCATGTATTTTAGGTATGCTGGTTACATTAGGTTGAGTTGAGTGCCCTGTCGCCAAATTCATGGGCATCCAGAGCCTCAGAATATGGCTTCACTTGAATGTTTGCAGATAGAATTAATTAAGGATCTCAACATGAAGTCAACCTGGATTTAGGGTGAACCCTAAGTCCCATGACTGGTGCCCTAATAAGAAGGGAGGCAACACAGTGAGACATACAGAAGAAGGTGATATGAAACTGAGGCACAAATTGGATGGATGTGTCTCAAAGTTAAGCCTCCAAAAGGCATCAACCTTACTCACACACCCCTTGATTTCAGACTTCTGGCCTCCTGAATGGTGACAGAATAAATCTCTATTGTTTCAAGCTACCCAATTTGTGATATTATGCTAGAAAACTATTAAACCAGTTGTCTTGATTTGGTTACACTTGTAACTGCTTTTTTTGTGATCAACAAATGTGTAGTGGACATTTGCATTTATGCTCCTAGAATGTACTCCCCATTTTGTGGTTTAAAAACATTTTGGATTTGCTCTGGGGAGGCCCCTTTAATCTTGTCTGTTTCCTCCACCCCAGTCCCCATTTTTTAATGACATTGAATCCATCTCCATTTCTAGGGACATATAACATAGGTCAAAGTAGATGAGCACGTTTTATCCCACTGACCTTAGGGAGCTAATGAGACAAAAATCATATTTTTGGCTATTAGAACGGTATCATTTTTTATTCCCACTGAATTTGATCCTGAGAGCCTGGGGATGCTGCCACAACTCTGCCATCGCATAGCACTTGAGACTCCAGTGAATACTGGAAAGAAGAGCCGAGAAGTTACGAGAAATCAGGTCCTGGGGAAGTCACTTGACCTCTAACTCTCACTAAGCCTGAAGCCCTGCCTGTCCTCAATCCTAATGAGTCAATTAATTATCTTTTTATTTTGAGGTGAGTCTCCTAAAATATTCAATCATAAGATTTCTGAAAAAAAAAATATAGACTCCAACTTGGTTTATCATCTTAATTATTTTGACTACTAAGAAAAGTTAAGTGTACACATCACTTACATCAAAACTGGCAACATGTTGAATCTAAAGTCCAGCTGCTTACCTTATATCTCAGTGTCCCCCGCAACAAAGTGTGAGCAGAAGAAATGCCATAAATCTCAGCATATTTTGTACTGTCTCTGTTAGGATAGCCTTCCAAATTTAATCCTGGGAAAAAATCCATGGACGTAACGGCATCAAGAAAGGAGATGCCCCCTGCAACATTCACAACCTGAGGAATATTGAGAAGGCACAGATGGGGTTACAGTTGTTCCTTTCTTTTAGGGCTTCCCTGCATTATACGGACAAAGAAAGCAACAGAACTTTGAAAAAAAAAATAATGAAACCACCATAATCATTATCCCATACTTAAGCTGTTCTTCTAATATCATAATTAACAAAGCAATTCTTCTCTCAAGCTTTAAAATTTGACTCTAAAACATTTAGTTTTTCTAAACATAAGGTCTTATTTTCAAGTTTTTTCCTTCCCATGGATAAAACAGCACTAAATTATTTACCACTAGAATTTGCCTTTTTTAAAAATATAAATATTTAGAAAAAAGTTTTAAAATAAACATTTTAATTTTATTTTTTAAACATTTATTTAAAAATAAAAAAATGTCTAAAAAATAAACATCTAAAATTATTTTCTATAAAAATGTTTAAAAAATAAACTTAAAAAAATAAGTTAAAGCAACAGATAATTATTTAAATGGCTTCTATGCTCAAACAACAATCAATATTCTCATTCTTTTCTTTTACTTTCATGACCCTTCTAAATGCCACATTAGGCATCAGTCACATACATTTCATTCAGACAGCTAAATTTATCGAGCAGTTACTATCTATGTGTCGGGGATCACACAAATTGTGAAGGGAATAACATGAGTGATGAAATAAAAATCTTTTGATATCTCAGTACTTCTATTTCCCATACCCCTACCCCCATCACACATACTCAAAATGCAATGAAGGATTTCTTTGTCTCTAATTTTAATTAAAGGACAAATTTTCTTTTAGTTTATGAGGCTTATTATTATCATTGAGATAATGGAAAGTATTCTGGAGTGATAAAATTAGGTGTGAGAATTCTGGTTGGTGCTGCTGGTGGAACTGAATTTTATCCTTATTGTACCACTGGAAACAATTTCTGACCAATTTCTCTAAGCTGCACAAAGCAATACTGTACCAGGGAGCTGCCAATGTACTTTAAGGTGGATTCACAGGATTTGCCTGAAGAGGCCTTTGGCTAAACTTAATGATTCTCATGCCTTATTTGTAGATGGGTTCTGAACGTGCCTTTGTATGAGACAGAAAATGGAAACTCATTTATATGTGGATGAAGCCCCAGAAAGAAAAGGGCTATGCTGGCTGCAATGTCAGGACCACTGGAGTCTTTTCAGTTCAGAGGCTCACTTTGGAGAGTGCCAAGCACCATTTCAAATTTCAAAAGTGAAAATCTGAATGAAGGATGTAAGGAATGCCTTTCATTTAATTTTCTTGTGAACTCTTCTAGACTGCAGAGTAAACATTTCCAAAGGGATGATTTCTGTACTACATCTTTAAAATCAATATATTTAAAAGAATTCTAAATTTTTGAAAAAATGTAAGAAAGCAAATGTTGGGCATTGTAGTGCCCACCTGTAATCCCAGCTACTTGGCTCGGGAGGCTGAGGCAGGAGGATGGCTTGAGCCCAGGAGTTTGAGAATAGCCTGAGAGACACAGGCTGTTTAAGACACTATCTCTTAAAAAACAAAAAAAGCAAATATTGACCGTTAGGGTCTTCACACCCATCTCATTTCTGTAATCTATGACAGTTCTTAAGTTTTGTTTGCTTGTTTGAAGGTCAGGAAAATTTCTGAAAGAAAAATTCAATAAAGACGACAATATTCTAGCTTACCAATCAGAAATAAAACAGCAAGTTCATAAGTCTATCATGAAATCCTTACAAAGAAGATGGAGAAATGTAAGCTGAATGGCAATGGTTCATTTATTGAGAATGGCAGTTGGCTAAGCAACCTGACCCAAAAATTACTGGGTAATCATTGTCATTTGATATTAATTCATAGTTGTATTTCTAGTGGCATATAATGTAATTCAACAATAAGTTCTTTCTTGGTTATTATTTTATTAATAATTTGAATGACAACAGAAACATATTCGTCTGTTTTGTGGAGAATATACGTTTCTTTCTGCTCTGACAATGCTCAGGCTCATTATTCACTGCTGTTGCAAGTTTCTCTAGGTCCAGCTCTTTCACACACACACACAAATAAACACAAATACGTATCTCCCAACTAGAGAGAATCACTGTTATATTTGAATAATGTATCATATATATTTAAATAATCACAATAAGCTTGATCACCAAATTAATAAGGAAATATACAATCATTTTTTCAGGGCCCACTATGTGCCCCGTGCCTTTACTGGGCATTATCTTTAATCCATGAAATAACCCATTTTTCAGAGGTAAAAACTGAGGCTGAGTCACCCAAAGGCAAATTGAACTCAGTTCTATTTGACTGCAATGTCTGTGTTCCTTCTACTACACTGTCCCCTTAATCATGCTTATTTCTGGATCAGTATTTTTAAGGGGATATTGACAAAGTCAGCATTCCAGATTATGCCACCTGGGATGCACCTGAAAGCCGCATAAAGAATGGATACAGGCAAAGGAAGATAGTGGTAGCTCTTGATTTCCAAGGGGCTGGGTGCTGCAGTCAAGGTGGTGGCAGGCAATGGATAGAGGGCTAGAAAACTTCTCTTAAAGCGATGTTTTCAGAGCAAGCACACTTCTCACTCAGATTACATATTTTGCCAGGTTAGACTGGGAAACACTGCAGAAGGTGATGGCAAAGCTCTGCCATGTCACTCCCAAATGCCACCAATGTAAAAAAGTATACCACCCCTGTGAGGGGAATGAAACCAAGAGAAGATGAAATCACTGTCTCCGAATATGTGGAAGAAAATCACAATTGTTAGGAATCAAATTAGAAGTTAGAAATAGTACAAGTGGCTAGAAATTACTGCAAAGATATAAGACAATGAGATATATTCAAATTCATAGGCCACTGCCCAATTTCTGGAAAAGTTTGAGGCTTCAATTTTAAGTAGAAGTCAGAGAAGTGACTTGGTTCCCCATTATGATTCTGTGAATTATTTAAGACCCGTTCCATGGTGCAGGGTGATGATGGCACAGGGAGTGAAGGGCAAGAATACAAGAGAGGTTTTAAGTTGTTATAACAATCTGGCTTGGGAAACACACTGATACACTTGAATTACTGACTGAATAATGCAGCACCTAGAAAATTCTTAGACACGGAAAAACGAAGTGTCTGATTCTTTGATTCAGTTCAGACAAAATAATAGTGAACAGAGGCTGGAGTGGTCACAAAAAGCTTCATCCACAAGAGGAAACGCAAGTGGGACCTTGAAAAGAGTATTATTTTAGCAAAGAAAAGAAAAGTGTCATGTTTTCTCTTGGTATCCTCCACAGTGTCAGAGAGATGCAAAAAGTACTCATTTTTACAAAAGAAGTTTAGGATGAAAGAAGAGAACGTCAAATCTAACAAATACAACTTCTGCTACCTGAAAATAACCTCTTGCTTTTCTTAAATCCTCACAACTACTAATTTCCTTAAGTAGCTAATATTTGCTAGATTGATTACATGCCTGACAATCTGCTGTTAGGCAGATTGCAATCTATGTGACCTCACTGACTAAGAACCCCAGAAGGCTGGCGTGATTGTCCTCATCTTCCGACAAGGAACCCAAAGCTCACAACCAGTAATGGCAGAGCCAGGCCCACAGATAGCAAGTTTCTTGCTCTTTCTTTTAGATGATTGTACTCTGCTGACCCTTTCATTGTTACCAACGTTAGCATTTATAAGGCCTCCTGAAAATAAGTGTTTTACTCAACTGAGACAAGAATTTGTCTTGCTTTCACATGTTAATTTATACTAAACATAGGCCAGTCTCTTAAGATCGCAGAAGGTAAAAGGAGCAGTTGGAATGCAATAGGAGACAGGCTGTAGCATGTAAAAGGATGTGTGCTTGGTAAAACATCAGACTAAGATTCTGGTCCAAACCTTCATGATTCATAGAACTGAAGAATTGGATGGAACATCAGTGCTCACATTCCACATCAGGAAACTGACATCCGGTGGATCTTTTCAACTGCCAGGTCTTTGGCTATGTTATGAGGGATGCCAGGAATTAGACCAGAACTCATCGATCCTGTTTATTATCCTGAAACATGTCACACATTCCAGCACCAAGTTAAAGTGTCCTGCTTGTTTAGTACTATTTTAAGTGTAGCTGTGGTTCTCTGATCATTAAATGAGTTGTTCTCAAATTCAGCTGCATATTAGAATCACTAGGGAGATTTTTAAAATCCCCAAACCCAGGCAAATCAGAATCTTTAGGGATGAGGCCCAAGCACTTTTTAAACTCCCCTTGTAATTCCAAGGTACAGCCAACTATGAGTTATTCTCTATATCACAGGCACGGAAGACCATGGCTAATAACAGCATTCCTTGTTGCTTAAGAAATTCTTTCTGTCAACTCCTGCAATACATTTCGATTCACAGATACATTGACAATGTAAAATACTGATGCTAGAATAATCTTTTTAAGACACATCTATCTGATCATATTACTCATCATTCCCTGCAGGGCCAGTACTAGGGCAAGGTGGGTGAGTGCCTACAACACAATTCAAAGAGGCACTCTGAGTCTCATTACATTTTTCTCCAAACTATGAGCATAAACTATGAAGTCAGATAGATGTGATTTGGATACTGGCTCTGCCACTTGCCATTTCTTTAAATGTAGCTGTTATCTTAAATCCCTAAACCTGATTTTTCCCCTTGTAAAACTGTCATACCATGAGTGCTAACATCCCTGCCTAGCTGGCACCTTCATATCCTTCAAGGCCAAGCACATCCTCTTCTCCACTAGTTTTTCTTCTCCCCATCCTCCTTCCCTCAACCCCTTCACCAAGGCCAATTAAACTGTTCTCCTGTCTGTACCTCTGAGCCCCTTTAACATGCTTTGGAAATTTCCCTATTCAATTATAATTATTTATTCCCATGTCTGTCCTTCCAGCCATTAGGCAATCTGGCAAAAGGAGAAAAAAACATCTTTAAGAGTTAGTTAGACCTGGGTTTGACTCTCAGTCAAATGACCTCGGACATAATCTCTGAGCCACAGCTTTCTTATTGTAAAATCATGAAAATAATACTAAACTCAGAGAGTTCTTACGTTCTATTACATGGCAGCTGGGGAAGAAATTGCAGTTTCTTTCCCCAGCACAACAAACCCTCCATTCTAAGAGCTAAACCCCATCCCCAATCCAGCTGTGAGTTTCCTGAGGTCATGAATTTCATTCTCCGTGCCAGTCTTGGGTAACTTGCCCAAAGTCCAGCACATAGTAGATACTCAGAAAATGTCTGTCATGCTGAAATAAACCAAGAGATAACCAGTGTTTACATATATAGAGAAGTGAATGTTTGAATGGCAGAAACAACTTGTGAGAAGGCATAGGGAAGAATAGGCACAGGCTTTGCTTGGACCCGCAAGGAGACCATGCTAAACAGAGCAGAAAATATACACTGTGAAATACCACAGGAGGAGATAATGGAGACAGCATTATTAAAGGGTTTGGGATCAGGGAGTATTTAGACTGTCCCAGGCAGTTATTGCAGGTTGATATCACTATGCTTGGATGAGATTCCTCACCTTTCCATCAAGCAGATAGGTGGCAGACTGCATTACGTTCATCAAAACTCCCACTGGACTCCAGCTAAATTTATATCTCAATGGATTGTTCGAATGTTCGGGGGCTGGAAGCCCACCACAGTAGGAAATATATGATTCAATCTATAAATTAAAGAACCAATATATAAGGAAGAATTCACAAGTTAGAGAATGTCTAAGTAATCAGTTGAGGACAATGATATGAATGGAGTAAACTTGCTACAGTTTTTCATTCTTAAAGTTACTAAGGCGTTCGAAAATACATCTTCGAAGCCGTGTACCATTCGATTAAATAACAGATGATTTTATATATATGTTTTTTAAAAAAACTGTAAAAATAGTGACTAACATTTTGTTCAGTTAAAAATCCAACTCTTAGTTCAATTCTACTTGGTCAGTTCCTACTAACTTTTGAATTCAAATTATATATTTACATATATATAATTTGAATACATATATATACACACATTCAAAAAACCTAAAACAATCTGAATCATCCCATTTACACCCAATAGTACCTTGTCAAAGATACTATTTCATAAATGATATTTCATATCAACAGACTCTGATACCCAAAGATTCTTCTCATTTTTAAAAGTCAAACCTTACTACAGAATCTTCAAGGTAGTCTAAAATTTGTATTAAGCCAAAATTTTATAGTAGCATCTGTTTCTCCAAAATTTGGTTGCTACCTAAGACCTGGACATTGTTTTCCCATATAGATATTTTTGCAGTTATAAGATTTTCTTTAAAATTTCTGAGAGGCCAAGGGGGATGGATCACCCGAGGTCAGGAGTTCGAGACTGGCCTGACCAACATGGAGAAACCCCATCTCTACTAAAAATACAAAATTAGCTGGGCACGGTGGTATGTGCCTATAATCCCAGCTACTCAGGAGGCTGAGGCAGGAGAATTGTTTGAACCTGGGGAGTGGAGGTTGCAGTGAGCCGAGATCATGCCATTGTACTCCATCAAAAAAACTCTTTAACTTTGATTAAAGGTGTTGCTATATTATAACTCATACTTTGATTCTGTACACAAGAAGTTAGACATTTTCATGTTCTCCTTTGGGCATAAATTGGGCTCACCGTGGCTCCCACTTCCTTGGCTTTATCTATTGTTTCCATTGCTAACATGTGATCAAGACCAGGGTCCAATCCCAATTCACCAATGATTGTGATGCCGGCATCTTCCACACTGCAGCAGGTGGAAAGAGGAAAAAGGAAAACTTGAATATAAAATAAAAACAATGCCATGGATTCACTCAGTTTGTTTAAAATGATTAAAACTTACCTCTTTTCCAATTCTTTTAGTGCTGGTGTGATGTAGCTTGCAGTGACCATGTTAACTTTGTTTGTGATGCAGGACTTGGCCACAAGAGGGTGCAATACATAAGGCAACAAGCTTAAAAACAGGAAGAAACTAATCAGAAACTCCCTTTTTCAACCCTACCTTCCGAGGTACTTGAACTGTATTAAAGCTGCATCTTAAGTTACTGTTCTGATTAAATTATTCTCTCAGAAAAGGCAACACTTACACACTGTTGGTGGGAATGTAAATTAGTTCAGCTGCTACAGAGGGCAGTTCAGAGATTTCTCAAAGAGCTAAAGGTTGAACTACCATTCGACCTAGCAATCGCATTACTGGGTATCTATCCAAAGGAAAATAGATTATTCTACCAAAAAGACACATGCACTCACATATTCATCACAGCACTATTCTCAATAACAAAGAATGGAATCAATTGACATGCTCATCAATAGTGGATTGGGGCCAGGAGCTGTGGCTCATGCCTGTAATCTCAGCACTTTAGGAGGCCAAAGACAGGTGGGTCGCTTGGGTCCAGGAGTCAAGACCAGCTTGGACAACATGGTGAAATATCATCTCTACAAAAAATACAAAAATTATTCCAGCATGTTGGTGCATGCCTGTAGTCCCAGCTACTCCAGAGACTGAAGTGAGAGGATTGCTTGAGCTCAGGAGGTCAAGGCTGCAGTGAGTCGAGATCACATCACTGCACACCAGCCTGGGCAGTAGGGTGACATCCTGTCTCAACAAAACAAAACAAAATGAAACAAAAATAAAAAACACACCAAAAACAGTGAATTGGATTAAAAACTGTAATACATACACACCACTGAATACTACATAGCCATAAAAAAGAATGAAATCATGTTCTTTGCAGCAACATGGATGCAGCTGGAAACTATTATCCTATGCAACCTAACACAGAAACCGAAAACCAAATACTACAGGCTCTCACTTACAAGTAAGTGGGAGCTGAACATTGGGTACACATGGAATTAAAGATGGAAACAATAGACACTGAGCACTACCAGAGGGAAGAGGTAAGAAGTGAAGCAAGGGCTGAAAAACGACCTACTGGGTACTATGCTTGTTACTCGGTGACAGATTCATTGATACTCCAAACCTCAGAATCACACAATATACTTTTGTGATAAACCTGCACATGTAACCCCTGATTGTAAAACAAAAGTTGAAAGTAAAATAAATAAATATTCCCTTGGACATGATCAATGACTCCCTGTGGGCCACAGAATAAAATCACCTTTTTATCACATTTAAATAGCAACACTATTCTATTGACCTGAGGAGGAATAAATGCCTGAGAAGTGGTTTTATTGTTTATTTTGTTTTTGTGTTTTTTTATGAACTAGAGAAAATCTGAAGTACACAGAATGAATTTGACAAGTACAATGGTGTAGTATGATATTGGTTATGTTGGTTTTCATGTTTTTGTTGGTACTGTAGACAGTTTTACCAAATAGTCAATAAAAAACAACTTAAATATTGTCATGTAATTGACAGGGTATTTTATTATTCCTACAATATATATAATATATTGTACTATTCCTACAATAGACGCTATTGTACATTAGATACACTCATTTATATAATACTCATATTTATGAAAATTTGATTTCTCGTGATTATGCAGTCCCAGCACCAAATTATAATCCCAAAGTCAAAATTGTTGAAAACCCAGTCAAAGTTGAGCTTTGAGTACAGCATCATCTGTTGTTCACCATGTGGATTTTTAGCGATTTTGATAGCCTTTACACTGATCAACACCATTAAAGCCTATCTCCTCCTTGGGCTCTTCCTGGAGTCTACTCAATAACGTAATACATGGGTCATCTTGACCTAGTTTGCCACTTCCTGATAGCCATTTGGAAGATGTGGAGGTAAAAAGAAAGGCAGCCCTATTTTAGTGGAAAACCCAAGACAGAAAACCCCAATCCAAATTATATCTGCCCCTTTAAGAAATTTCCAAAAAGTTGTTTTCCTCCACAAAGCTTTCCCAGATTCCCCCAAAGCCAGATATCCTTCCTCTGCATGCAACCGGTTATATCTTTTTAACATTTAATGGAATTTGATCCATTCGTCCCTGTATTTCTACAGCTCATGTATTACATTATTGAGTAGACTCCAGGAAGGGCCCAAGGAGGAGATAGGCTTTAATGGTATTGATCAGTGTAAAGGCTATCAAAATGGCTAAAAAGCCACACGGTGAACAACAGATAATGTTGTACTCAAAGCTCAACTTTGATTGGGATTTCAACAAATTTGGCTGTGGTATAATAATTTGGTTCTGGGACTGCATAATCATAAGAAATTAAATTTTCATAAATATGAGTGTTATATACATGAGTATATCCATATTCTATTCTAGGAACAATAGAATACCCTATTAATTACATGACAATATTTAAGTTGTTTTTAATGCCTGTTTGGTAAAGCTGTCTACAGTACCAACAAAAAAATAAAAACCAATGTAAACTATCACACTATATCATTGTACTTGTGAAATTCATTCTGCATACTTCAGATTTTCTCTACTTCATAAAAAAAAATAAAACCACTTTTCAAGCATTTACTCCTCCGCAGGTCAATGGAATAGAGTGTTGCTATTTAAATTTATTATAATGCAGAATAAAATTGTGTATGTCTTTTATCAGTATCAAAAGCTCCTGGTCTCTGTGTTTTTGTTTCTTTAAACCAAAAAGAATTAGTGCTAACAAATTTGGTAGACTTTTAGAAGCCACTGAGTAAAATACTTGCAAAACTATTAGAACCAAATAGTAATAGAAAAGGTGCAATGTCATCATCTTAAAAGTTAAGCAGAAATTTTTAAATCACATTCTCCATATTAAACTTGCCCAATCAAAATTTTACTAAGATCTAATAATATTTTAAAACTTGTCCTTATAATAGGCTGAGAAGTACAATATTAGGATTGTGCCTGGTGGCACTTTTTAGACAAACGGATTAGAGTTCATAATTCGTCTTGAATATGATATAGGAAGCACTCAATGGGACATACTCAAATTATTTAAGTTGACTCCAGCCCAATTACTCCAAAAGGTCAAAAATGTCACTTGTGAAAAATACACACAAAATACATGTGGAATTTTCAAAGAAACATTGAAATCAATTACTACTTTGTATTAAATTATTAAAAACTAAATTTGAAAAATTAAAACTATGAGAATTGTACATATTACTAAAATTTTTTTTGAAACATATTCTTTACTCATTTTTTTGTAGTCCCTATCACTGTGTTTATATCAAAACATTCTTTCCCCAACTTAAAAAATAAAACAGTTGGCCAGGCATGGTGGCTTATGCGGTAATCCTGGCACTTTGAGAGGCTGAGGCAAGTAGATTGCTTGAGGAGTTCAAGACCAGCCTGAGCAACATGGTGGTACCCCATCTCTACTAAAAATACAAAATGTAGTTAGGCATAGTGGCATATGCCTGTAGTCCCAGCTACTTGGGTGGTTGAGGTGGGAGGATCACTTGAGTCTGGGAGGCGAAAGTTGCAGTGAGCCAAGATTGTGCCACTGCATTCCAGCCTGGGTGACAAAATGAGACTCTGTCTCGAAAAAAGAAAAAAAAAATGTAAGGAATGCTATAGGATAACACTGTTTAATGGCATTACCACTATTCAGCATAGAAAATATACCAAATGAGAAAAGATTAAATATAAAACAGATTTTGCTAATGCTAAATCTTATTGAAGGCCACCTGTTTGCTAAATTTTAAAATTTGGATATATTAATAGATTGATGTCTTTGTCCATTATCTTGTCACATTTTATTTCAGATTTTGTTTCAAATGGATTTTATCGTGTTATTTACTTTTAATTAAAAATGATATATTTAGGTACCTATGTGTGTCAAAATAAATTACTGTTCTACTTGGAAGGCTAGATCATTCTATTTTGAATCAGGATTTCTTTACATGGTAAATATCAGAGAGGTTTAGTTGGTCATTAGTCAATTTTTTCTAAATAAAAATTAATGCTCATAAAATTTTTATAACTTGAGTGACATTTTAAGTGCATGAAGTTTGCCTACATTTAAAGATATCAAGAGAAATGTAAAAATGCCAACTTACAGAACTACCTTTCATTATATGATTTCCAAGCCTGCTTTTTTTTTTTTTTTTTAAGCAGAATATCACAGAACTTCCTCCAAACATACAATTTGAAACTGATCTGTGCAAGTGATTAGGTAATCACTGTGAGGGAACAGATAACTGTCTTCCTCTCATCTTGGGAAAATTCTAAGAATGAATAACTATTCTCCTCACTTTGACATTTCAAAACCAAATGTATTTATTATTTATTTATTTATTTATTACTTTGATTTTAGGTTCAGGGGTACATGTGCAGGTTTGTTATACAGGTAAATTGTATGTCATGGGGGTATGGTGTACAGATTATTTCGTTATCTAGGTAATAAGCATAGTACCCAATAGGTAGTTTTACGATCCTCACCCTCCTCCCACCCTTTGCCCTCAAGTAGGCCCTGATGTCTGTTGTTCCTTTCTTTGTGTACACATGTACTCAAATATCAAAACCAAATTTAGTTATAGAGCAAATCTCATGTAATGCTGTATCTAGATGTTAGATCTGCATTTTGTTAGTAATACTCTATTTCAAGATCTGTTACTATGATGAGACTTAAAATGGTCATAAGGCTAAGTAATCTACTTATTTCATTTAAGTTTTATAACTCCAAAGAATAAAATGGATACTAAAGTATATAAAACATTAATACCTTATGACCTGCAATCGCACTTCTAAGTATATACCCAACAGAAATGTGTAATTACTGTTTTGGTGAAATGGTCACAAAAAGACAAATACTGAAATGTGTATAACAGTGTGACTTATAACAGCCAAAATCCAGAAACAACCTAAATATCTATAGTAGTCAAATAAATAATAATGGTATATTCACATAATGAAATACTACACAGCAATGAGAATGAATAAACTATTATTTCAGACAATAGCACAGATGACTCTCATAATCACAACACTGAATGGAAGAAGGCAGCCACAAACGAGCATATATTGAATGATTCCAATTATGTGAAGTTTGAAAGCAGGCAAAAACTGAATGTCAGAAGCCAGGATAGTGTTTACTCTTAGAGGACGGGGTAAGTGAATAGAAAGAGGCATCAAGAGGGCTTCTGGGGAATTATTGATACTCTGTTTCCTGACATAGATAATTGTCACAGAGTGTGTTCACTTTGTGAAAATTCATTGAGCTATATACTTATGATTTGTGCACCTTCTGGACCCATGCTTCAATTAGAAAGTTTACTCCAAAAGAGCATGAAGAGAGAAGTGAAAGAGAAAGAGAAAAATAAGAGAAAAGAAATAACAACAAAAATATGAAACTCATTTCTTGCCAGGTACTGACCTGATGACAAGATCCTGTTTTGCCACCAAGAAGCCCAGCTTCTCTTCTTGTTTACAAATGTCCATGCTAACAGGATTAATATTATATTTCTTGCCTAACTGTTCAATTTGATTCTTCATGTCAGAGCCTATTTCAAGAATTAAAAGTCACATTTTTAGATATGTCAGAGTAAAATATATTTTAATATCTCCAAAAATAAATGTTCAAATTTCAGAAACAAAGTAGTCTTCTAAAATGTAGAAGTCAACATGCTTTAAAATATATTTTTCTTCTTCAAAAATTAGGGCTTTTTTACCTACTGTTATTTCTATATTGCCATCTCTTGATAAATATTCCAATACAGGCTCAGATACATAGCCAGATCCAAGAACCAAAACCTTTCTGGTGCCCATTGAAAGTGACTGAGCACTTTCCCTATTTAAAAAAAAAGAGGGGAAGGGGCTAATTAAAATTTTATTTTTTTTAAATAACAGAATCTTGCTGTCCACAAATCATACTAAAACCTAAATAATGAAGCAACATTTTCTCTTCACATTACTTAAAATAAGAATTTCAACATGAGTGAGTTCCCTATACCAACATATTTCTTCAATTATTTTACATTTTGTACAATGAAGAACAATAGACATTATGTCTCTGAGATATATATCTGTAGATGTATAGATGTATTTCATGAATTTCCAGTATTACTAGTGAGGTGCAGGTGCTGGACCTTTTCTTGGTTTGCTTGTGATTGAGTAACTTGGTCTCACATTTTATCCTTCCAGAAGATGTAATTCAAAATCATGCAAGGGGCTTTACCTTGGAAACTTTATTTATTACTCACAACAATCCCAGAAGGCAACAATTTGAGGAAGAGAATATTATTACCCATATTAGAAATTGTTTTGTCATATATCTTTAGGGTCACTTGAAAATAGTCAAAACCATGACTTTGAGTCACAAATGTCACGGGTTAAATGTAGAAAACGAAGACTAGTGTTAGGCATTATTTTAATTCTTAAACAGTTTATTCTGCTGGAATTATACCTTCCAGGCAGATGATTTTCTGTCTTTCCCACAAACTATGACCTCCAAGGCAGCATCTAAGACTTACCCATCTTTACAAACCCATTAATGCTCAGCATGTTTTGTTTTAAATATGGAATTTACTCATTAAATATTTTTTGAATCAAATTCCCTGTTATCAACATGAAACCAAAGAAATGGCCTGGTGCCAGGGACTGAAGTAGGCTCTGTTATTTAGAATCTTTAGGTCAGAATGTCTCTTGAACATTAACCCAAAAACCTTTTCATTAATTTTAAATAAATAAAAATAAGTATAAGTATGAAACATTCCTGTCCCTCTGTACCCCAACACACATTATTACTGATGTGAAGAGGTCTCATTTAACTACTACCGTCTCCCATTTCACCTTCCAGAGAGAACCACTATTATTTGGTTATTATACATTCTGTCTAACAATATTTTCTGTAGTTTGTATAATTAAAACATTCCAAATATCAAATGCTCAAAATAGAAACTCACTCCTAGATTCTAATACTGTCTAGCCCATCAGTACCCCCAAACCCCAGATTCCAGGTTAATAATCACTGTGCTAAGTGATGAAAAGAACAGAAGAATAAGGCAGGATTCAATACAAAGTAAATTTCCTTTCAAAATGCAAACTTTGTTATTAGTATCTTGGCACAAGTTTCCATCAGGAAAGAGGGCAGCAAGTTCTAGCAATCAGAGCTGAGTAAACCTGCTGCTACATGAAATATGACACGTAAGAGAGAAGATATCATCATGACCAGTCATGTTAGACTTGTCACTAGTATCAGTAGTGTAAAAGACCATCGGATGATGAGAATCAAAACATAGAGCTATGAAAAACAAACAGATGTGAAGTTTTACCTGTAAGAAATTCTCCTATAGGGTTATAGAGCTAGCTTCTCTTATTCACAAAGAAAAAAAATTAAATACTTAGTGTCTTACACCAGAATATTTCACTGACACATCAAAAAGTAACTATAATCAAACCAGCACATATGGAAAAGGCCTAACTATAGCACGCTTGATCTGGGCAGATCTCTTTGTTTACTGCTTGTAGGTGGAACCACTGAAAAAGATTAGACAGTTGTGTTGTGTTGTGTTGTTTCCCAGCTCTGGTTTCTCCTGAGACTTCAGTACATGGGTTCCTTTTTTAATGTGAAAAGACCAGCAGAATAGATATAAACACAGATCAAAGGCAATTGGCTGGAGGAGACCAGAACATTTCAAAAAAGTAAAATTAATGTTTTCAAACTTTAAGTAGTAAAATTAATTAAGGAAACAAGGGCCTTAGCTAAAGACCTTTCTAAAGTAATGATCCTCTTGAGTAGATTTGCTACATTACTTTTTGGCATCTTCCCCCTAATAAGAATCCCTGGAGAAAACTACCTCTTATTTCCATCAATTGTTTATTCACAACTCTCTTAATTTGTAATCACGAATTCTCTTTCCTGAGCACTACACTAAACAAAAGAGAGTCCAAATCCTCAACTAAAACCCAAACTGAAAGCACCACAGAAAGTCTAGTGTGCTGATTTTCCTTTGAAAAAATAACTGAGGCATGACCATGTGTAAAAAATCTGAGAAAAATAAGAAGCTACCTGAAGGACAATCCTTTCGGATTTTTGCTTGCTTACCCATACGTCTACACAGGCTATTAGAAAGCCAAAATGATGCTATACTACTGTTAAGTGGGAAACAGTCACAGTGGTTTCAGCCAGCCACTTAGTTTGGATTTCCTACATTTTCAAACATCATCAAAATTTATATATTGTACAAACCTAATATTAAGAACTCCCATTGAAGCATTAAAAAATGCTCATTAATTCCAAGATAAGAATAAATGTATAAAACAAGAGGATTTGAACAATACTTACCTGCTCTCCCGGAGTGTCTGGATATATTTATATTTATCAGGTAATGTACCGTTGGATGTAATCACTGCCTAAATGTATATGACACAAGACATTTCTTTAGTATCCACAGTTTAGTCCTACAAACATGGTCTCATGACTGATAGAGAAGAGACAGAATGGCAAAGATGGAGAGAGGGAGAGAGAGAGAAGAGAGCAAAAATGGTAATAGAAAAAACACATTTATGAAAAAATATTCTTCTCATAACTTACATCTCTCACCACAGGAGAAAAATTCTGACTTTCAAGAGGCTGTGTCGCATCTGATAATATCTGAAAGGAAAATGAGATTTGTAAGAGATAAATGACACTGCAAAGAAGGTCTCTTGGTGTTTGTATGCATATTAAAATATTAATCAAGGGAAAAAAAGAATTTAAGAAACAGTTTTCTGAGGATCACCGAGTATAAGGGATTGCTAAAAGAAGTCTTCTACAAGCAATCAACTCTACGCACAAGACTATGGTGTTTCAACACAAGTCCCAATTTTAAAACTAAAATTGGATTATAATCATCTTTGCTTGCTGTGAACACAAAAAAAGCTTATCTTTTCCAACCAGTTAAATGTATCGTATTAAGCACGTTGCCAAATATCTTCACAAGCTTTATAGCTATAGTCCCCTCTTCAACGGCCTCTACTCCATTCCAAAAGTTCAAGTTATTCTATTAGGAGTAGAGAATGAGGTTTTCCACTCAGCAAGGCCACCACCTCAGCAGTAAGGGGTCTCCCTCAGATCAGTATTAGTAGTTATATGTATAGATACATCAGCATTTCAAAGGTGGTAGCAAAAGTGACTTGACCGAGTAGAACCTTGAAAGTCATGCACATCCTCTTCACATTATCTTGCAGAATTGAGTCAGAGACAACAAAAAAAGTAAGATGTCTCATATTAACATTTCAGCAACCTTCTAGTCCTCCTCTTTTCTCCCAAGGAACCCAACTCTTGAATATGGTGCCAAGAAGCAATGGGTATATAAGTTAGTCCCTCTCAGAGAACCCAATTCTTGAACATACTGCCAAGAAGTAATGTCATATAAGTTAGCATTGCTGCTTCTGGTGGACAGAGAAGGGCCAATGAGACAGTCTTTCCTCCCTAACTAGGGGTTAAGATCTAGCTCACTCACCCAACTAAAAACAAGAACAATGTACCTAGAAGGTGCTGGTAACAGAGAATTTATTTAGTGTATTAAAATAAATAGAAAATTGTTTTCATGTATCTAAAATAAATGGTAATTTGAAAAACGTCAGTTCTCCAAAGGACTGAAACCTAGATTTAAATTACTTCATCCTAACTGAATTTAGGTGAATTTCTCCTAACCTTTATCCTTGTCTATCCCACTGCCCAAAACAAAGAATATATTATCTGGAGGAAAATCACACAATATCCGGAGCCTCGAGTCATCTCTAAAGTTTTGAATACACAATGTCTAGCATTCAACCAAAAATAAATAAATATATTGAAAGGTAAGAATTTACTGAAAACCATAAAAACCAAGGGAAAAAACAGGGAACATAAATAGAACCAAGAAGTGTAATGGAACTAACAAAAATGATTCTAAATTGTGATTAATATATTCAAAAAAATAAAAGTACAATATAGATAACTTTTTTAAAAGATGTAAAACTTTAAAATTAATGAATATAAATTTTTGATAAATGAAAAATAACATGTTTCAAGCCTTGGAAGACAGGTGAACCTCCAGATACATGAAGAAGCTCAACAATCTCCAGAGTCAACCCAAAGAGGTCCCTTTATAATTACTGTCAAAAACCAAAGAAAAATGATATTAAAAGCAGCAAGATAAAAATATCATGCTACATATAAGGGAATCTCTATTAAACTATCAGCAGATTTCTCAGTAGAAATCCTGCAGGCCAGGAGAGAATGGAATGATATATTCAAAGTGCTGATGCACAGAAAACTGCCAGCCAAAAATGCTATACACAGCAAAGCTGTCCTTCAGAAAAAAAGAAGAAATAAAGCCTTTCCCAGACAAGCAAAACTTTAGGGAATTCTTCACCACTAGAACTGCTCTATAAGAAATGCTTAAGAGAGTTTTTCAAGTAGAAAAAAATAACATTACTAACATGCAAACATATAAAAGTACAAAATTCACTGGTAAAGGTAGATATACAATCAAATCCAGAATACTCCAATACTACTATGGCACTCTGCAAAAGATAGGTATTTATAACTCTAAGATGAAAGTTAAAATTCACAACAGTCAAAATAATGATAGCTACAATAAAGTATCAAGAAATACGTAAGCTAAAAAGATGTAAATTGTGACATCAAAAAATATTAACTGGTTGCACCCAACTCAGAAAGGTAAAAAAGAAATATATATAGTATGTATGTATACTATATATATATACACACACACACAAATATATATAGTATGTGTGTGTGTATATATATAGTATACATACATATATATATGTGGCTGAAAGGATTAAAAAAAACAAAGCTCTACTAGTCACAATAGCAAAGATATGGAATCAATCTTGATACCTATCAGTGGTGAATTGGATAAAGAAAATGTGGTATATATATACCATAGAATACTATGCAGCCATAAAAACGAATGAAATTGGCCAGGCACAGTGGCTCACACCTGTTATCCCAGCACTTTGAGAGGCCAAGGTGGGCAGATCGCCTGAGGTCAGAATTTCAAAACTAGCCTGGCCAACATGGTGAAACGCTGTGTCTACTAAAAATACAAACATTAGCCAGGCTTGGTCGTGGGTACCTGTAATTCCACCTACTGGGGAAGCTGAGGCAGAAGAATTGCTTGAACCCAGGAGGTGGAGGTTTGTGAGATGAGATGGTGCCACTACACAAGCCTGGGTGACAGAGCAAGACTGACTCAAAAACAAACAAACAAACAATGAAACTATGACCTTTGCAGCAATCTGGAATCAGTTGAAGGCCATTATCCTAAGCAAATTAATGTAGGAACAGAAAACCAAATGCCACATGTTCTCAGTTATAAGTGGGAGCTAAACACTGAGTATACGTGGACACAAAGAAGGGAACAATAGAAACCAGGGTATACTTGAGGGTGGAGGATGGAAGGAGGGTGAAAATTGAAAAACTACCTATCAGGTACTACGCTCACTACTTGAGTGATGAATTCATTTGTGCTCCAAACCCCAGTGACATGCAATTTACCCATGTAATAAAACTGCACATGTACCCCCTGAAGCTAAAATAAAAGTTGCAAGGAGAAAAAAAAAAAATAGACTCTCACTATATGCTGCCCACAAGAGACATACTTTCACCTTAAGAATGCACATAGGCTTTCATCCCTCAAAGGGGATGAAAGAAGATATTCCATGCAAATAATAGCCAACAGAGGACAGGGACAATACTTATTCCAGACAGAAAAAACTTAACTCAAAAATTTTCACAAGAGACAAAGAAAGTCATTATTAAGGAGCTCAAGTCATTAAGACGACATAGCAATTGTAAATATATGTTCTCTCAATATTGGAACACCTAAACATATAAAGCAAATATTAATTAATCAACATGAAGGTAAAAAATAAATACCAAAGCAATAATAGTAGGAGACTTCAATACCCCTCCTTCAAAAATGGAAAGACCAACCAGGAAGAAATTAATTAGAAAATACTGGAATTGATCTGTGCTTTAGACAAAATGAACCTAATAGATAAATATAGAACGTTTTATCCAGTAGCACCAGTGTACGCATTCTTCTCTAGTACATATAGATCATTCTCCAGAATAGATCATATGGTAGGCCACAAAATACGTCTTAACAAATTTTTAAAAAAACTGAAATCATATCAAGTATTGTTTCTGATCACAATGGTATGACGCTAGAAATCAATAACAAGAGAGACTTTGGAAACTACAAACAGATGCAAATTAAACAACATATTCCTCATCAAACTAGGAGTCAATAGAGAAATTAAAAAGGAAATTTAAAAATTTCTAGAGACAAATGAAAATGAAAACATAATCTACCAAAAGCTATGCGATAGAGCAAAAGCAGTACTCAGAAGGAAGTTTATAGCAATGTTGAAATGCCTATTTCAAAAAAGAACAAAGATCTCAGATAAACAAATGTTGCACCTCAAGAAACAAGAAAAACAGGAACAAACTGAAACCAAAATTAGTAGACACAAAGAAATAGCGATGGTTAGAGAAGACATAAACAAAATAGAGATGTAAAAAATACAAAAGATCAATGAAACAGTTTGTTTGAAAAGGTAAACAAAATCAACAAGCCCCAAGTCTGCCTAAGGAGAAAAGAGAAAAGACTCAAATAAATAAAATTTCAGATGACTGTTGTTGGTGTATTGGAATGCTAGTGATTTTTGTACGTTGATTTTGTATCCTGAAACTTTGCTGAAATTGCTTCTCAGCTTAATTTTTGGGCTAAGACTATGGGTTGTCTACGTATAGAATCATGTCATCTGCAAAAAGGGATAATTTGACTTCCTCTCTTCCTATTTGAATGCTCTTTATTTCTTTCTCTTACATGATTGCTCTGGCCAGGACTTCCAATACTATGCTGGATACAAGTGGTGAGATAGGGCATCCTTGTTGCCAGTTTTCAAGGGTAATCAATGTCATTAAAATGGCCATAGTGCCCAAAGCAATTTACAGATTCAATACTATTCTTATCAAATTACCCATGACATTCTTCATAGAACTAGAAAGAAACTATTTTAAAATTCACATGGAACCAAAAAGAAGCTGAATAGCCAAGGCAATCCTAAGCAAAAAGAACAGAGCTGGAGGTATCATGCTACCTGACTTCAAAGTATATTACAGGGCTACAGTAACCAAAACAGCATAAGACTGGTACAAAACCAGAAACAATGACCAATAAAACAGAATAGAGAGCTCAAAAATAAGGCCACACATCTACAACCATCTGATCTTCAACAAAGCTGACAAAAACAAACAATGAGGAAAGGACTCCCTGTTTAATAAATAATGCTGGGATAACTGGCTAGCTATACAGAAGATTAAAACTGGATCGCTTCCTTACACTATATAAAATGGTGTAAATAAACTCAAAGTGGATTAAAGAATGAAATGTAAAACTCAAAATTAAAAACCCTGGAAGATGATCTAGGCAAAACCATTCTGGACATGGGAACTGGCAAAGATTTCATGATGAAGAACCAAAAACAATTGCAATAAATTGGATCTAATTAAAGAAAAGAGCTTCTGCACAGCAAAAGAAACTATCAACAGAGTAAACAATCTACAGAACGGGAGAAAATATTTGCAAACTA